AAACTCTTTGACAGCTACAACAGTTGTTAGAGGGATCTCCTCATTCTTGGATACGGATACATCTTCCTGCGAGAGTCCCAGAGAGAAAGACGGCATTTCGAGAAGATTTAACAACTGGTGTTGGGGCAGGAATGTGGGAACTCAGCTTATATATCAAAAAGAATAGGGGGTGGGTAAGAAATTTTAATTCTTACCTCCTCCAACTCAACTTCATCAGCAGAATCCAAAGTAGGGAGTGATTGGTTGACGAGACCGACATGTTCTCGGACTTCGTCAAGGTGAATTCCATCACCAAAAGGGGAATCATGAGGGGGATCATCAAGGAGGGGGTCGTCTGAGGGAGCTGGAGGGCTAATAAGATCAGTAGAAGCAACCTGCGAATACTGCTCATTAGATATCACATATAGGGATGGTCTACAATTGAAGTGAAGAATGCGGCTTACCAAAGCATGAGTTGGATTAGCCGCTAATTCTGTAGGTGGTTCTACAGCGGTTTGATTGCCGACAGTCGGCTCAACATCATTTGGGTGAACGGGAGATTTAGGCTCCTTACGTGGATTGAGCTCAGCTAGAACGCCATTTATGAGGCTGTCAGCAAATACAGCTGGAGAGCGGTCTGGTACAAAAGCTTCATCTTTGCCTCTGTTGTTCTCACAAACAAAGACAGAGGTGGTGACAAAATCCTCTCCGGCCTCGGTTACATTCACAGGGGAGGTAGCTTCAGGGATTACAGATGAAACTGAGGAGAGTTTAGAAATGGCATCTACAACAGACTTGGTTACGGCCCTCTCCATGAGGTTGAGTTGGTTCGCGATAGAAGCCGAAATCTTCAACTCGATTTCTTGAAGTCCTCTGGAAATGGTTGACTGTATCAGAGATACATGATGCGATGACCTCGTCTCGAGTGCTTCCTCAATGCGGTGAACCAAACCTCTGAGCTCACTAGTTAGTTCAGCAGAGAAAATGTTGGGCCTCTCCACAGAGGAGCCAACATCTGGGACATCACCAACAGGTTCCTTCTCAAATTTATCCTTAGTGTCTTTGTCCTTAGGCTTCTTCACAGACCTCATCCTTGATAATTCTGATGCGGTCAACCCACCTTTAAACATCTCCCTCCTAAAACTAAACCCTTTAGATATCAAAGCGACCATATCGGATACAACAGGAGGTTCAGTCTCATCACACCAACTGAAATCTAATCCAGAAGACCATTCCTCAAAAGGTTCGTCGAGGATGCACTTGACTGGCAACTGTGAAAAAATGGAAGAAAGATCAACATGAGTTATAGATGGAAACTACGAGAGTTTAGCGGCTACCAGATAGTTTACGCTGACCAGTATACACTTAGCGACTACAGTTTATACGAGAAGAACTAAGCGGCTAATAGATAGTTTAACTTGTCAAGTATAACAGATAGTTTAGCGGCTAACCGTTAGTTTAACAGAAAACATATAGGGAATAGACTTGGCACCTAAAGCTAAGGAACTAGAAAAGAAGTTAGCACCTAACGGTGGGTTTAACACTTTACGAACAGACATATTAAAGTTTGAGAGTGAAAAATACAGTGGAAACGACCAGAGTGTAGCGGGTACCAGATCGTTTAAACTAACAAGTATACACTTAGCAACTAAAGTTGAAACGAGATGAGCTAAGCGGTTAACAGATAGTTAAACCTATCAAATATAAACTTAGCAAATTCTGACAAAGCGATAATGAACAGGTAGCAACAAGTTGGATTATTCGCTAATTCAATTAGATACTTCTGTAAACCGTATAGTTTAGCGGCCAACAGATAGGTTACCCTAGTAAGTATATTTTTAGCAAGCTATTTTAGTCTAACAAATATACTAAAAACGGTTAACATGTAGTTTAACCTATCAATTGTATCCTTAGCAAACATGTCAAAACATTTACGAGGGAATGAATTCTACCATACAATACAAGAGAGCAGTAACTACCTGACATTCGGTATCAATGTTCTTGGCATGGCCCGGGATGACACAGAATTTAACTGTTTGGTTAACAGCAGGCAGGCCAGCGGTCGTAGTTTCAACTTCGGTCGGAGCAGGGCAATCAGAAGCCTCACCGTCGCTGTCCGATGCCACAATCACTACTCGGTCAGAATGAGGAATCTCCTCTTTAAGCTTTGGAATGGCAGAAACAAGAACTAGCTGTATTGCATCAACATAACCGCGAATGGCAACAGATGCTTGAGATAAGGCTACTTCGTCCTTGGAGGTGATAGAAGTAATCAGCGTGTGGAATGAAGCTCGACCCCAAGGATATGCTAAGAATTCTCCGAGATCTCTAATCATTTCAACATGCTCTGGGATGATGCGAGGAGAGTGTGACGACGGGAAGAGGATGGATGAAGTTATGGCAAGGCAAGCAAACTTTAACCGGGTCTCCTTGCTTTTAACAACCTTGTTCTTCAACATATCAACGATGGTCTCAACGGTGCAGAACTTAAGTGAACCAAACAGTTCATTCCAATACAGCTTCTCTTTCAAAGGGTTCTTCTTCTTCTTCATTGGTTCAGGGAGCTTGCCACAGTTTAAACCAGTAACGATGGCGTACTCTCGAAGAGAGAATCTTATCGGATTCCCAGCGAATAAAAACCAAATCTCGTATTTCATGCCGATTTTGAGAAGCCTAACGATAACATACTGACCAAATGCACCAGAGAAAGGAGGGTTCTCGTCAATTGCAAGGATCTTCCCAAAAGTAGAGTTTCGAAGAAACTCTATCTCATCGGCTTCAAGTGCTTCAAGAATCAACTCCGTCTTTCTAATCTTGTGGTATGAGTTGATGCGATCCCCGACGGGTTCTTCGCCGAAAGCGAACATTCTAGGAGGCAATTGAACTTCTTCCATGGCGACGAAGAGTGGAGATTGAAACAAGTTTCAATCGTCTACTGAAAATGTTATAGATGAGGGAGAGTGGTTGGGAATTACAGATGAATGAATGCGATTTTTAAAACATGGAAGATCGCGCCGGTCCAAAGTCACACTTTATCACGCGTGAAAGGAGAGAGGTTGGGGAAACGAAGAGACGTGAAGTTGTTCAACGGACAAAAGAGTGGAGTCTGACTTGCGACAGGATTCGCCGAATTGTGAGGTGAGGGTATAATCGTCAACTGAAAATATTTAAAGGTTACAGAGGCAAAAGACCAATTATCGGCCAACTTAGGGGCAGCCATGCCAATTTCTCNATCACGCGTGAAAGGAGAGAGGTTGGGGAAACGAAGAGACGTGAAGTTGTTCAACGGACAAAAGAGTGGAGTCTGACTTGCGACAGGATTCGCCGAATTGTGAGGTGAGGGTATAATCGTCAACTGAAAATATTTAAAGGTTACAGAGGCAAAAGACCAATTATCGGCCAACTTAGGGGCAGCCATGCCAATTTCTCTAGAAAATTTCTTATTCAACAAGTACCTACAACATAGAAGGGGGAACAAGTCAAAGATATAAAATCTAGAAGTAAATGAAATTTTTTAGGAAGTCGTCTCATCTCAAAAGTAAAACCATAAATCATCCACGTGTCCAACCCATGAATTGATCTAAGAGGAGACTATGTTTGCTAGATGCTGTGAGAAACAGCCTAGAATCAAAACTAAAAAGGATATTTACGATTTTATTAAATATTAATTAGAAAAAAGATTAGGTGGAAGAGTAGGTTATATAATATGCAGGATTCTTCATGGTGTTTAATGTTTGTTTACACTATTATTGTTGCCAAATGTTTGGGTGTGATATATGTAGCCGTTAAAACTATTTAGACCATTACTATGAGTGAAACCAACTCCTCTCAGCTGTTGTCAGGGGCGGACGTAGGTAAGTGAAGGGTGTGGCACGGGCCCCACCCTAATTTTTTTTTTTTTGGAAAACTTTGATACAAAATTTGCTTAAATACCTTTAGTTTAATTAGTTATTGCATTATGTGTTCCATTTTTATATTTACATATCTTGATACTAAGGGTCTGACTGGTTCAAACAGGTTATAGTTAAGGTTGGGAGAGTATCCGGGTTGATTACGGTTTTATGTGGTTTTAAGAGATTTGTACGACTGGTACTGCGATTAAAAATTGGTGCGTTTCCGGAATATTTATGATTGGTTTACTACCAAATGCAGTAGCGGTTAAAATATAAATTAACAATATTTACATTTTGTATAATTATAAAATACCAAAATCATAATATTATAATAAAATGTAAAAATTATACTTATAAAGTTAAAGGTTTAATTTTTTAAAATTATTGAAAATATTTTTAATTTTTTTAATAATATTAATATAATAGCTATATTTCATAATTTTTATAATTCCAATTTAAAAAATGTATTCAATAGCTTTATTTTTGTATTTATAATTATATTGTTTTTTTTAAAAAGAAAAAAAAATTACTCTCTCAAAATCGCAAACGATAGTTGGAACCAACTTTGAATTTAAGAGGTTTAGAACGGTTTGAAACGATTCAGAACGATTTGAGTGATCCTTGCAAACGCCAACGACCGCTACCAACCGCAAATGATGCGTTTGCGGGTGATAGCGAGAAAATCAGTACTACCCTAAATGTTTATTATATTTTGTGCCCCATGTTTTCTAGACTTCTGGGTCCGCCCCACCTGTTGTGGCAACAGAAACTTCGCTCTGAAAACTAGTCCAGATAGGCATTCGTTGAGAGCAAATGTTGATCTAATCCATACATCACTCAACACGGAACAAGAGAGAAAACAATACAACAAATATATATATAATTAATAGAAAATTCCGAGTAAATTTTTGTTTTGTTTTGAGTAGAAATATGGTCATAATATAAATGTAAATTAAAAATTAACATATATAGATGTTAAGATTATAGAAATATATATATATGGATCAACATTATTGCAAAAGAAAAAACAAAACTAATTTTATTTATTTTATTCGTCAATTAAAGGTTGAGATAATCATGGCAAGTTGGATGCAATAAATAACAATGGCAGCAAAACTAAATACAATCTCAATATCCTGAGGGGAACCCTCCTTTCCTTGGATCACTAACTGCCACGAGCTTACTCATCCCGCCGGAGCTTCCATCGGATTCTTGAACTATGAACTGAACAATCGTCGCTCCGGTCATCGGCGATAGAACATGACCTTTCTTTTCCAACTCAACTCTTGTCTCTTTAGGTATCTCGAAATGATCACTGAACACTGTCGTCAAGTTCTCAAACGAAACTCTGTCTGGTATCAGCTGCACAAGGGAATTACAAAAAAAAAAAAACATTTTTTTAGTTATAGACAATGAACAAGAAAGATTATTCTTGGGGTACAAGAAAAGAAAGAGAAGCAAATGACCTGATGGTAGATTCTTGGAGCCAAAACAGAAGAAAGAGGATCCATGTTAAGGAAAAAATGATTCAAGAAAACTTCTGTTGTCGCGGCGACGATGTTCACTCCACCGCTAGCACCCACCGCAGCTATCACTTTACCGTCCTACGTAAACAAAGCGCATGAAAACCCATTGTTTAGAGCCTAACTAATAGTTTCGTGTAACACAAGTAACATGTTTTTTGTTTTCTAAACCTTGAGTACAATGGTGGGTGACATTGAGGACAATGGTCGTTTCCCGGGTCTGATGAAGCTAGCCGGTGCCGGAGGGGGCACATTTAGGTCACCCCTGGACTTTGCTGGGACCGTGAAATCATCCATTTGATTGTTTAGAATGATTCCAGTGCTTGGAGATAGAACCACTGCCCCAAAGTAATTGTTTATTGTAGTAGTCATGGAAACAGCGTTCCTCTCGCTATCTATGACCGAGAAATGGCATGTTCCATGATGGTTGATTTGATTCCACCTACGAATATTAATAAATCAAGAAACAAAGAAGACACCAGCGCGCGCGCGGGTTTAAGATATGATTAAAAGCCTTACATGCCGCCATAATATTTTGGATCAAAGGTTTTGTCATCGTTTATCTTCGTCTTCAAGTCTTTTGCAAATTCTGGAGACAGCATATCTGAAACAACCTTAGTAACATCTACAAAGTCTGGATCAGCAAGGTTCATCCTAACCGCGAAAGTGTGTTTCAGAGCTTCGATTAGTCTATGAATACCAAGAGAGCCCGAAACACCTGATGGAATCCCATATTGAGAAAGAATGTTCAAAACCTGCAGCACAAGAAACCAATGTTAGTTTGGTGTTTTGTAGAGAATTAATCATTAGCTGGTCTAGGAGACCGATTTTGTAA